AAACACATTAGATTTTCTTAACTGCAACTTGTGAGATGCAGATGGAGGTTTGCGAGCAATCGCAGCACGACCGACGGCTGCAGAGAGAGCGTTTCTGCCCCGATGCGTTACGCAACACGACCTCTTCTTGATCCTCCGAGCTCGCCAGTCGGCTCTGTGCCGCTGTCGTCATGAGTCAGGTTTACACCCGCTGAACCAGCCTGGTCCAAATCATGCCACTGATTGGTTCTGCAAAGTGTGCAGGATAGATTATTGATTAACGTCTTGATAAAAGTCCAAAAACAGTTCGAAAGCTTATGTTTAAATCGTTTTTTCACTCCGTGTTTCTGTAGCAACAACTGTGATATGCAAACGATTTAACCTCATCGTATTGATTAGGCCCATAGTGACGCCCCCTCTGGCAGTGATGGTAATGGCACAAACCCTTTGACCTTTCATGTCTGTGGACGTTAGAGGAGTTTTGTGAGCTTCGGCTTCATAGTTCAGCAACAGTTCTGTGTTTCGTGGCTGCAGTCGGATCATTTTGTGACCTGATGAGCTGAAAAACGAACGAGCTGCTGTGGAGAGATGGCCGAGGCTTTTCCACTGAACTGGTCAGACTGTCTCCTGAGGTCTTCATCATTTTCTTCTCCTCTTTCTCATCTCTTCCTTAGAGATTTTCAGCACAATGAGTCAGATAAAGAAAATCAGTGTCAGTTTCATGTCTGTACATTGAGAGCAAATCTAAAAGAAACGCTTTGCTGCTAGTTTCAGTATGAGAGGAGTCCTCGTGTTCCTCATCCTGTTTATTTAAGTGATTTAAGTTGGAAAGGAGCCACGACAGGTGGTGCTAGCCTCCGCCTCCCTGCTGTGGCGCTCAGCTGCTTTTAATCACGTCCTGAACTTGTCTGTATAAGATGCGCTGAGATGAAATTGATATTGATTTTCCGATTTGATGCCGGGTAAGCCAGTAAACAAACACATTTCCAAAAATGTCAGACGGTTCTTTTAATCCGAGCGCGAGAGAAAGAAGCTCTGAGGACGGTCGGGAATCTGAACGCCCGAGTGAGACGGACGCTTGATTGACATTTACAAGACCTGTGGGCTGCAGAGGAAAACACAATGTTCTGCAGCCGCCCTTGACTGAGTTTTATCAAAGTGCTGAAACTGTGGAGCGAGCTGAGCTGAAGTTAGCTCTGCATCACGCTGTGCTGCTGACTGACCTTTCAAAAAGGACTTTTATCAGATTTACCGGGTCTGCAGCATTTATTTCTTTTATTCTTCAGTGAAAAGTTCACGTCTGTGTTATTACGGCGGAGACGCAGATCAAAGAACAAGTACTTCTCTTCCATTGCAGTGAAGGAGAACAGTTATGAGGGCCTGATCTACATGCAAATCACTGCTGTCTGGAATACAGAGCTGCAGAGCTGTTTTAAAAGGCTGCAGCACA